CCCCAGGGGCTGATGGGTGGGGCCAAAAAGGGTCGAATTTACTGAAATTTCAAAAATCTTCTTCTCAAGACCCAGATATGGTAGAATCAAATACTCTTCATAGATGGAAGGGTCTTAAGGTTTATGACCCTAGGGTCCAACGTTTACCCCCTGGGGAAAGAAGGGGGGGGGGGGGCAAAATTTATAATGGTTTATAATGGCAAATGATACTTTGAATATTACATGTTAATAACTTGATTGGAATTATTGAATAAGGCGGTTTTATTGTTTTTTGTCTCTTTGAATAATATTTCTGTTCATGTTAAAAACAAAATCAACTCTCTGTATAGATATATCAGGTGACCGTTAAGGCCCATGGGCCTCTTGTTAAGTTCAAATAGCACAAGAAAACTCAAATGTCAGTGTTTTTATTACGTTTTTCAAAAATGGTGTGTGCAACGACTATGCATTCTGTTTTGGACTAAAGGAATAAATTCACACTACAGAAATACTTTCTGTCATATAATTTCTAAAGGTCATCATAAAATGTTAATATGCTGACAAAAAATATTCATTTGAAGTGTAAGATACTGCAAAATTCAAGCCCTGATTTGATTTAGATCCTGACTTTCGCAAAAACCGGAAACGCTGATTGGTAACTTCAGAGCGTTCTATAAATATCTCAAGTGAGCCCCGGGTGCTAATTTTGTTTGTAAGAACACCAATCGATACTCCTTTTTTGACACAACCATACATGAATATAATTCCTCCTAAGATTTTTCAATGATTTAATAAAATGATGGTTTGGGAATCCAATTTGGGTACTGTCACCTTATACATCATACCAGGTAATATTAAAACAAAAGAAGATATTTGTAAAAAGTTGGCATCAGGTAGTTTAGGAATGGTAATCTACTCGACTTCTTCATGATTTTTTTTCGCTTGTTAGATTGTCCTATCTTTGCTAGCATATTTATGCAACAAATATTTACATTGAATGCCAGTTTTGTTTAGAAGTTGTAAGCTTTGTTGATCCTTTTGCTGAAATATATAATGATAATGCTTCTTTTCAAGTTTCTAGTGCAAAATTTAAAAAAACCCACGACATTATCAAGTTTAAGTGTAAAACGATATACACTTGTATGTCAAAATATTATTTGTGAACCAAATGACCTAACTGTGTTTGGATATGCAGTGCCCTAGGTATAGAGGTTAAGAGAGTTGACTGGAGTGAGATGGATCTGTCCAATCGTGATGTGTGTGGGGTGCTGATCCAGTATCCAGACACGGATGGAAGTGTATTTGATCACACAGAATTGGTGGTGAAGGCCCACGCTAATGGGGTAAATATCAGATCCTTATCCGTAGGTGTCAAACTACAATGTCATACAATGTCATACAATACAATATCATACAATGTCATACAATGTCATACAATACAATGTCATACAATGCAATGATTATAAAGCAAGAAAAGTTTACGCAGTTGAAAGAAATTGACTTACTGTATAGCGGTTATATTTCAGGAGTGTTTTGATTTAGCTATATATTCGCGGTTCGACTAATATCAGCGAGTTCTTAACACCAGCAAAATTATCGAAAATGTTAACCATTTTCATTGACCTTATCACAACATGTTGAAAATATTTATAACCCAACACTTGTTATGCAAGCTTAAATGAACTCAAATCAGATTATCACCAGACAACTGGACAGTCAATGTAAAAACAACACTTACATATAATAAGTGGCCACAACATATTGATGTGCACACAGTCCGTGATTAATTGATTACAGTTTACTCCTACAAAGGTACATACACATTTGATTTTCTGTCGAGTGAAGTCACTGGCGGATGACGATGCTCGGGATCAGTGTTTTCCAACCGTTTACCTGTATTTCGAGGTTTAACCCTAAAACGATGATGCTCAAAATACTTTGCATGACACATGGAAAATTTTAACCCCCCCGCAAATATTTACTGAATAGAAAACCGCAAAATATTGACCCCACGAATTTAAAGCGCTGTACAGTACTTACAAATGCCATTGAAGCAGGAACATCTCTCTGGAGGGTACCCGACGATACCTTATTTTTAGGATAAAATTAGATGGATTTATTTTGTTGCTTTATTTTTGCTTTGATATATTGTATTTTAAATGAATCAGTGAAGACCCATAATGATATCAGAAGTCTTGCTTCATAGTATGAGGAATATGTTCGATATTGGAGATAGTGAGTTGAAATGGTCCTGTAACATTTTCCTTGTTTTACAGACCCTTGTGGTGTGTGCCACAGATTTGCTGGCTCTGACCATCTTACGACCCCCGGGGGAGTTTGGAGTGGACATTGCCGTTGGGTCAAGTCAGAGGATGGGTATCCCCATGGGCTACGGCGGGCCGCATGCAGGGTTCTTCTCCACGCGTAACAGATTCATGCGGCTTATGCCCGGGAGGATGATCGGAGTCACCAGGTAAAGGGGACGGCTGTCCCATGCTTGATCTGGGATCTTTAAAGTGTTGTTTGACAGACTAGATCACATCAATCAGTCTTTTCAGATATATTTATATTTCAGGACTGTCATTTATATTGAAGATGTAAATTTCATGCAAGACACAACAGTTTTCACAGTTGTGTCTAAAAATACCTATTTACAAGGATTTTAATATATAAAGATATGTATATGTGTTATGATATGAATGAATATAGGATATTTGAATTTTTGTAAATGATTCTGCGTGCAAAGGTGATCACGGAATGACACACTGTCTTACAACTGTAGGGATGCCAAGGGAAACGATGCCTACAGGCTGGCCCTACAGACGAGAGAGCAACACATCCGACGAGACAAGGCCACCAGTAATATCTGTACCGCCCAGGTAAGTCAGTCACCTGTACAACACAGGCAAGTCAGTCACCTGTACAACACAGGTACGTCAGTCACCTGTACAACACAGGCAAGTCAGTCACCTGTACAACACAGGTAAGTCAGTCACCTGTACAACACAGGGTAACAAAAACACCTGTACTGCACAGGTAAGTCAGTCACCTGTACAACACAGGGTAATAAAAACACCTGTACTGCACAGGTAAGTCAGTCACCTGTACAGCACAGGGAAGTCAGTTACATGTACAACACAGGTAAGGCAGTCACCTGTACAACACAGGTTACTCAGTCACCTGTTCAACACAGGGTAATAAAAACCCCTGTACTGCACAGGTAAGTCATTCACCTGTACAACACAGGGAAACAAAAAAACCTGTACTGCACAGGTAAGTCGGTCACATGTACAACACAGGAAAGTCAGTCACCTGTACAGAACAGGCAAGTCAGTCACCTGGACAGCACAGGTAAACAAAGCACTGGTACAGCGCAGGTAAGTCAGTCACCTGCACACCACAGGGTAACAAAAACACATGTACTGCACAGGTAAGTCGGTCACATGTACAACACAGGTAAGACAGTCACCTGCACAACACAGGGTAATAAAAACACATGTACTGCACAGGTAAGTCAGTCACCAGTACAGCACAGGTAAACAAAGCACCTGTACAGCACAGGTAAACAAAGGACTGTTACAGCACAGGTAAGGCAGTCACCTGCACAACACAGGGTAACAAAAACACCTGTACTGCCCAGGTAAGTCAGTCACCTGCCCCACACAGGGTAACAAAAACACCCGTACTGCACAGGTAAGTCAGTCCCCTGTACAACACAGTTAAGTCAGTCACCTGTACACCACAGGTAAACAAAGCACTGTTACAGCACAGGAAAGTCAGTCACCTGTACAGCACGGGTAAACAAAGCACTGGTACAGCGCAGGTAAGTCAGTCACCTGTACGACACAGGTAAACAAAGTACTGGTACAGCACAGGTAAGTCGGTCACCTGTACAGCACAGGCAAACAAAGCACTGTTACAGCACAGGTAAGTCAGCCACCTGTACAACACAGGTAAGTCAGTCACCTGTACAACACAGGTAAACAAAGCACTGGTACAGCACAGGTAAGTCAGTCACCTGTACAACACAGGTAAACAAAGTACTGGTACAGCACAGGTAAGTCAGTCACCTGTACAACACAGGTAAGTCAGTCACCTGTACAACACAGGTAAGTCAGTCACCTGTACAACACAGGTAAGTCAGTCACCTGTACAAAACAGGTAAAGAAAAGACCTGTACAGAACAGGTAAGCAAAACATCTTTACAGCACAGGTTAATATAACACCTGTACAGCACAGGTAAGTCAGTCACCTGTACAGAGTACCCTGAGATACCTCCAGTATAGGAACTGCCAGAATAAATACTTATTAGTTCAGGATCTACTAGACTTTCATATAGGAATTTACTATGGACATATACATTTACACCACAGTGGTATCAAGACCTTGTCTTACCTGGAAAACCACATGTTTCCTTGGAAAATGCATTATGTCTGTTTCCGATTACCGTGAATTATGACATTAAAATTGTGGATGACATCTCAAAGCATTGTAAAATGATTTCATAATTAGAAGAATGACCAATAAAATAGCGGTGTTACCAACTAGTGGGTAACCAAAAATGTTTACCAACTCTTTGTAGGTTTACCCAATAAGTCGTGAATGAGAAAACCTAGAGTGGCTGAAGGAGAAGTAATATTGTTGTAGTTTGTAGAATTGAGACTTCATTTTGTAAAACATATTTCTTAACAAATATTTACACCCCTTATTTTATCAATTCTAGGCTCTCCTGGCCAACATGTCAGCAATGTATGCTATATACCACGGGCCAGACGGACTGAAGCACATTGGGAAACGTGTTCACAACGCCACACTTATACTTGCTGAAGGTATGGTTGTCCTACCAGGTGTTCACAATAGGCAACATGTCTTTGTATGGTCACATAATGACTTGACGATAATGGTGATTCAATTTCAAAATTTAAAAGATTAAAAAACAATCTTTGTCTAAGGATCAGGTTATTCAAGAACCGAAAATAAAACTTTGTTTATCAGTGCACATGATAGCTAGTATAAATGTAAGTTCAAATAATTTGCAACATTCATAGGAGCCAAACAGTTTTATTTATATTACAACATAAGACAAACAGAAATCAGGACAGTTTCAACTGCTCAAGTATATATAATATCAATAAGCATGTTGCTCTTTTGAAGTTCTGGTATGTCTTTTCAGAACTTCACTTTGCAAGGGTAGAGGTGAAAAACACCCATGCTCAAAATTTATCTGGAGCATTGTTAATATTTCAACATGTGAACAAGTGGATTTCTGAGATTTTCAGCTGATCCTCTATGATGTGACCATTGACCTCTGACTACAGTATGATGAACAGATAAAATCAGAAATCCAAAAAAATCTTAGATAAGTGTAGTGTAACTAGATAACTTATCCTGAAGCCAAGTGTGGCCCAACTGTTTGACAGAAAATATGTCAAATATGAACAAAACATAAAATCATCTATTATAGGAATAAAGAAAGCAGGCCACAACCTCAGGACAGAAATGTGTTTTGATACACTACGATTCATGCCAAAGAATGGACAAGCTGAAATACTTCACAGAGCTAGTGTGAAAGAAATCAACCTTCGGTACTATGGAGATGGACACGTAAGTGTTTAGTTACCATACAAGATGGAGGTTTCGTGGTACGTTTCCATTTGTGATGTAGCAGTTCTCGTTTTAACAGCTGGAATCAGTAGTGAACTATTCAAGTTCACACATGCACATGGCTGAAAATTTGTACCAACATTATAATAGTAAACCAAAAATTTACAATGTATTATAAACCCACAATTTTTGCCTCGCCACAACGAGGAAGCGGACCGAGACTAAGGTGTTGCTTTTCCGGTGACGGCGGCAACATCAACATTACATTTTTGCCTCCAAGTTAGTTTCACTGAAAGTATAAGTGCTACACCAACCAAACTTGGACCATAGATGCATCTTGGGTAGTACATCTCGACTCATGCATCAAATGCTGGATGTCAACATTGAATTTATTTCACTGATATGTGCATTGATGGTCAAAGCGGGGCACAGGCGAGACATATCGACCCGAATGGCTGGTTATAATATTCCCTTTGACAAACATTAGGTATAGAATATGTATGTTACTCATACAAACAATCAGATTTCAACAACATGGAGGTTTTGCTGCACGTTGATGTTTGTGATGTAGTAATTTTCATTTAAAACCTGTGATCACAAGTGAAAAGTTCAAGTTCACCCATTTTCAACAACATGACAACACAACGATGTCAGCTGTTTCAGCTTCGACTAGTCTAGAATTAAGATAAGTATCCACTTGGGGTCGATAAACAAATTATGTCAAAGGTTATATAAGTGAATTGGAGAAAAGCAATATATTTGATTGTTAAAGTGAAATTTACTGTAAGAGTTTGTTTCCCTACCAGGTGGGCGTTTCCCTAGATGAGACAGTTGAGAGGTCAGACCTGAAGGACCTTCTGGAGATCATAGGTTGTCGAGATTCAGCGGTAAGTTCTCAAGTTTATTACGTACTTCTGATATTTCGGATTAAAGGGTTAAAAGATGTACATGCATCTTGACAAAAAAATGTTTTTTTCTCTTATTCCTCTTATAATGGATTTATTACATAGTTTATTACTGTTTCCTATACAGGAGTCGCTTGCTGAAGAATTAGGTCCGGAGCCGTCTACCAGTATCAGGAACTCCCCTTACAGAAGGACTAGTACCTTCCTACAGCATCCAGTATTCAACAGGTTTGGCGGCCTTATTTAACCTACATAGGGACAATAATAAACAAAAATCTCAAACATACTTTTGTAAAAATTTCTGTCTGTATTACTGCTATAATAGAGGTAAAACTTTGACATGATAATTTGTGGTTGTTTGGTTTTTCATTCTCATAATTCTTGTCTATATTTTTCAAATAATAACCAAAATGGTTCCGTACTTAATTTTGTATATTTGTTATAAAAATTAAAAAAAAAAAAAAAAAAAAAAAAAAAAAAAAAAATGCCTCCAAGGATTCTCTAAAATAACTTCTACATTGTGTTGATATTTGTTTCGACAGATACCAGTCAGAGACGAACATTGTACGATACATGAAGTACCTAGAAAACAAAGATTTATCACTGGTCCACTCCATGATTCCACTCGGGTCCTGTACCATGAAGCTCAATAGTACAACAGAAATGATGGTAATGTTGTCCCCTTTTTGTGGAATTTTCACGCAGCAATTTAGTCGCAACTAATTCACAAAACTGACAATCCACATGATAACGTCTGTATTTTGTTTTGATGTTACTAGATTGTAGATATATATAATATAGTATACACTGTGAAATACGTCTTCTTTGTAAGGACAGACTACACGGTTTGCATGGAAGCATTCAAATGTAGCTTTAATAGTGAAGCGGCCATATTTACTTATTGACTAAAGTGAAATTGAATACTGGGTAGTTTTTCAAACTAAAAGGTGGGGGGTGCGAGCTAAGCTTCTGTAACATCCCAACCGAGGCTTAACGTCACGCTACCACAATTGGTACACTACCCAAATTGGTACACGGTCAGAAAATTGTCTGAATAGTACTTTAAAATTAAATTTGAGCATTTTCCTTTGACATTATAACAAAAGAGATATTTATCAGTATTTCTGTCGAATAGTTTTGTTTTCAGGAACATTTTAAGAGTACACGATGACTTCAAAGTAAACATATCAGAAAACCAGTAAAACGACGTAAGTCGACGAAATTTTGGAGGATTGTCAAAATAAGCATGTTTAAATGTTGATTTCTGGTCCTTATATTTGGATAATATAAAAGTGAATATATACAATTATAGTTCAGTATGGTATCTATAAAAGCAATATATTTTGTTGTAATCAGCACATCAACTTGTAGAAATAAAAACAAATTTTATAGCCTGTGATATGGTGTACCAATTTGGGTATTATTTACGGCCGAAAAACGGACGAAATCTCTTGGCCGAGTTTAGCGTTCTGTTTTCAAAAACAAATTACTTACATATAAAACTTTTCCTGAAAATGAACCACCATAGGTAGTCTTTGTCAAAAATCAAGAAATATTCCAGATACAAGATCTGAATTTTTAAAGATCACTAAAAAACTGTCAAAATTGTACCAATTGTGGTAGTGTGACCTCAGGCCTTGGTTGATATTATGTTATTGAATCTTGGCCCTCGACCGAGACCCGATTTGTTCAGTTACAGGTATTAGATTTTATTAGTACAGACATCATACATCAACCGCTGCCAAGTGTCGTTTCACTGGCTTGGTTGTCCTCTGCATAGATTATAAATGTCGTTTGTGATGTTGTAGCCCTGCTCCTGGAATGAGTTTGCCAACATCCACCCTTTTGTACCCCTGCCCCAGACAGAGGGCTACAGGGAAATGTTTATGGAGTTGGAGAGAGACTTGTGTGAAATCACTGGTTATGATAAAATCTCGTTCCAACCAAACAGGTAAGTGTAGTCTAGGGTTACATTCGCATATCCAGGTTGAAACGGTTCAGGTGGCACAGAAATATTCCACGATAAGCGAACGCACTTGAATTGAACTGTAGGCAGAGCTAAAAAAACGCACAGTTTCAGAGAATAAATAACAATGTATCAAGAATAATATGTTCTTCTTTCACGCGTCCACTTAATTATTTAACGTATCTTAAAATCTGCATCTGGATTGACATTGTTTTATAAAGAAAATAATGCAAACTAGCAATAGTCAGCATTTTAGTTTTGGTCAGGCACGCTTGGACCCCTCAATCTACACATGCCAAATATTCCTGAGGTCAGTCTCGGTTCAGATCTGTGCCTGATGTTTTCTTTCATGTTCGACTGTTTCAACTGGTTGAATCGGATAGGCCAAAGAGGCCTTGTAGTTACTTCTTACTGCTATAAGCTTAACTGATGTCATCTATAAGAAAGGAATCAAGTACACATGTACCCAAAATTTGAGGTTTACCCCACCATAACAAAATCAGGGGTGGGGGCCTGGCATAAACAAGTATTTTTTTTTCAGTCCTTTTCTCAATGAAATTTAGGCAGTTTTCCCCAAAAAGTCTTAAAACTAGAATTTGCTTCATACAGAACGCAGTTTTATTTGCCAATATTTCTTATAACTGCCATCATATGTAATTGTGTGTAGGTACCAGATATTTTTGAGAGATGAGGATGGGATAGAGGAATGGATAATTGAAATCAACTCTCAGTCCATACACACTTAGATTTATAATAAAGTTGATGTTTTGATTTTAGTCATAGACAGTATTAACAAAGACTTGTATTAAAGACTCAATCTACAGAAATGTTTGTATCGTTGTTACGAAATTCCATGTGATTAATGTTTTGTTGACTGTTTGACAGTGGTGCCCAGGGGGAGTATGCTGGTCTGAGAGCTATCATGGCGTACCTACAGGCTAACGGACAGGCACAGAGAACAGTACGTAGTTCTCCAGCCTCTTTATCACTCTGACGCATAATGTATACATTAAAATGAAAAGGAAAAACAACTTCTTAATACATGTAGCGGCATTGAGGCGAGCGTTTTGCTTATGCCTGTGTTTTGAAGCATGACCAATTTGGGGATTAATCAGTTATAGCTTTAGGTTTGAGGAGGAATTTCCCATAGTATGAAAACACCTTTAGGAATCGTTGATAGAATTTTTTGTTATGAGGCATCATCTAACTTTTCAGAAGGATAATGTGAGGCCTCACATTGCAGGAGTCTGTAGGGAATTTCTTGCAACACATAACATCGTTTCTATTGATTGGGTTCCACTTAGCCCTGATTTGTCCCTGATTTGTCCCTAAATTGTCCCCCATCAAACACTTGTGGGATAAACTAGACAGAAGAGTTAGAATGCCGTTAAACTTATGATTTAATGTTGATTGATATACTTAAATTTCATATACCTGTTCATTGCATACTTTCTTTGACGAATGGGTTATACAGTAAATCATACAAAAATATCTTTAAATCTTTCAATTAAAATTATGTAATCTTTATCCTAAGTTTGCTTTATACATTTATGGGAATTTTATTACTTTACTTCCAGAATATTGACCAACACATACCAAAAATGTACATAGTAATTATTAATACAGTATTTTGTTGTTTAATTGCATTTTGAATAGCAGCTCTTATCTACTTGAGATATGGAATTGCTGTACCTACACATCCGTAGAAATGTATTTTTCAAACTACATTGGATAAAGTGAAATGTACAACGTACATTTATTTCCGTTGTTGTTAGTAAACACAATGCTTTGTTTCCTTGAATTTAATCATGTTACACAAAGGCCAAGCTGAATTTTGGTTTATCTCCCCTTAGACTGTGTTTTGGATTATCTCCCCTTAGACTGTGTTTATTTACGCCACAACTGTGCTGTGCTATAGGTTTGTCTGATTCCTGTGTCGGCTCATGGCACCAACCCTGCCAGTGCCCAGATGGCCGGCATGAAGATCCAGCCCATCAATGTCGACAAAAATGGTGCTGTCAACATGGAGCACCTCTCAGCCATGGTAAGGCCTAGGGTGGGAGTGAATTTAGACATTGTAAGGTGACAGTGTGATCACTGAACATTAACAAAAGATATTGAAAAGGTACTCAAGTAATTCTGAACAGGGATATAAAAACTGATCATTGCATGAGCTTGAAATACCGTATTGTGATAGAAAGACTTACACAATGTTTATTCAAATTACTGAACATCAGTTTTTTAAGGTATTTGTTTTTCACTTTTTTTTGTGAGATGATTGCAAATAATACATATGGGTTGACTCTAATTTATGAATATTATTTTAGCAGGAAATTGCAAATATGGGAATGCTGAAATTAAATGTTGTGAATAAATTTGTGAAATTTAAACAGTATTTGATACGTAAGTATTTGGTTTGTCTTGACATAGATCTTTAATGATTTCTTAGACTGAAAAGCACAAGGATACCCTGGCCTGCCTAATGGTCACCTACCCGTCTACAAATGGCGTGTTTGATAAAGATATAAGGTAAAGTACATACCGGTACATGTTGTACACACTAGAAATCAGAGAGAGAACCGTAATTGCATAAGTCACTATTATAAGACTCTTTCATGCATAGGGGTGTAGGATAGGGAAATTGCACCCGAGGGGTTTTCAAATTTGGTAAAACCTGAGGCTGTGCCGAGGGTTTTGTCAAATTTGAAAATCCTGAGGGTGGAATTTCCGTATCCTACACCCTTGGGCATGAAAGAGTATTTTTCTCTAATACCAACCACTAGAATAAGCTCAGAAACCATGACTAGCCACAATTTTGAAAATATCCTGAGCTTTTTAGACGAAAACGAATTAGCCAGCCAGATTTAGCATATCCCATAATTTCAAACAGTGTTTGCTCAGAAAAATTAATCACATCTTTCTAACGTGTATGGTAAATATATCGCAAAAGGTTTTAATTTCATCATGTCGCCTTTTCCGCATGTCGCTTTTCCGCGTTGCGGCATCAGAGAGTTCCAAAGTCGTGATGTCTTGTCATTGCTGAGCCATTGTTACGCCACGTCACGTGAAATGGGGTGTAAGATAGAAATTTCCTACACCGCTTTCTTACACTGGACAGCTCTAACTTACAGGGAAACGAGAGAAACTACATGTATACATATATATAAGAATAAATAAGGCTTCTAATGTGTGAAACTTCCTTTTTGGTAGTGATATGAAGTAACCTAAATTTTAAAGATTTTAGTTAATGAATATTGAAGTCTTAATTGTGTTCAGATATAACCTGGAAATTAGTCTGTTTATGTGTGACTATGTTTTTATCCTTTAGTTTTATCAACAACATCATAAATGCTGAAATGAGGGAATTTTTCAACAATCTGTTGTAATATTTATGAGGTATTACTTGCGTTTCTAACATATGTACATGTACATGCTGTGTTACAGGGAGATCTGTGATATGATCCACCATTACGGGGGACAGGTATACCTGGACGGAGCCAACATGAACGCCCAGGTAAACTTATATACATAAACAGTCCAACTTGTCAACCCAAAACAAGGACTACTGTATCATTTGCTCCAACATGCTAATTTGTCCTTAGATCCCAAGATTAAAGACACAGCAACATGTTTTTATAAAAATGTGTGTCATGTCAGAAATTATAGCAGTCAGTTAATAAGGTGGCTTTAAAATCAGATGTCTGTAAAATCAGATGTCAGCACTGCCAGTTGTCAGTAAAAAAGGTTGTCAACAAATCAGACGTCAGGAAAGTCAGTTGTCAGTAAAATCAGACGTCAGGAAAGTCAGTTGTCAGTGGCTGTAAAGTCAATTCTAGCTATAGTAGCTTGATATTTGTTTTTCCTGATAAATTTCACCAAATTAAAAACAAATACATAAATATTCAACATACTTTTTACCAATACAATGTACGAGCAAAATGTATTTTTAAATATTCTTTTTGAGCTAAACATTTTTCCAGGAATGATAAAATGGCTAACAGAAATGGTATTTATGAAAGGTAGAACAAAATGGCTTAAAGAAAATATGCAGTCTTTATGCCCTATATTTGTTGTTGTGATAGGTTGGAATCTGCCGCCCAGGAGACTATGGATCTGATGTGTCTCACTTGAACCTCCACAAGACTTTCTGTATCCCTCATGGTGGAGGAGGGCCGGGGATGGGACCTATAGGGGTGTAAGTAAAAAGTTAACGAGAAAACGTAGAAATCATAGGTACTACATCCTCAGTTTGAGATACGGAGCCAACAGGAGATAATTAGCTGAACACCCGGGTACAGGGGTGAGGCCGGAAAATACGAAATTGTTTGATCAATAGCCAGAAGCTGGTCATAGTGATTGTATACTCAGATGTTAGGACACTGGACAGATCTAAGAAGCTTTTGCTAGTGTTGGATGTTATTTCTACCAAACTTATGCAGGTTAATCTAATTTGCATAGAATTCAATGAAAACGAACCTGGACAAATTGATAATTTATAATACGTGAAAGTATCATGCACTATCTTTTTCTGCAATATAATGGGTAAGGTTAAATCATGGTTAGTCTGGTGTGTCATTGCAGTGATTTATTTAGCTCAGTTTTACAGCCCAATACAGACTGACAAAAAAGTGCCATATTTTCCCAAAATGACCCAAAAATGAGGACTATATTCCCAATTTCAATAAAAAATAATGCCATATTTTCCCAATTCATGAAAGAAAAGGCTGTTGTAAAATTTAGGTGAAAAACACTGCATTGTGCCCAGATTGCCTTCTTGTATCATGATAGAAGCTTTTATTGGGATTTGTTTATGTTGTGACAGGAAGAAGCACTTGGCGCCGTACCTCCCCACCCACCCTGTGATTCCGCCGTACGGTACCACCGGTCCCGAGGCCAAGTCCTTTGGAGTTGTGTCTGCTGCTCCCTTTGGGTCCAGTGCCATCCTGCCCATTTCCTGGGCCTACATTAAGATGATGGGAGCCAAGGGTCTGCGACATGCCTCGGAGATAGCCGTCCTCAATGCCAATTACATGAGCGCCAGGCTAGAGGGTTATTACAAGACGCTGTACAAAAATGAAAACGGTCAGTGACAGTTTTATTGATAAAGAGATGATGGAAATTAAAGAAGTCTTGATTTGAAATAATCAAATTGTTGTAATTTACTGCTGACGCATTATTACCTTGAATAAACCCAGCGAGTCAGTTTATCGGTACATCAGTGCTACAGCCGTGTGTGGTTATGTCACCTGTCCGATTTGATCTATTTTTAGCTAACGGTTGCTAGGACTGTCGGTAAGGGAAGTGGGTAGTAAAATAATGAGAGATAGACTAAAGATGAACGCAAAGTTTACGTATGACTTCACAGAGCTGGCTGTTATTGATGCACCGGCATGAATTCCAAATCACTGCTTACCAAATGTTGTGTCACACTGTGGTTATGTTTAAATTAAAACAAACATGAGTAGATCACCTATATACATTTTATTGTATGAGTTATTTATAAAGAGGAAATTTAAGCTACCTATCTCTACCTGATTTAGAATATTAGACTGAGCAACCATAATTTAGAAAATCGAAGTTGGTCGAAATGAGAAGATCCCCGGCAACTCCCGACTATGCAAATTTTGCAATACCTAATTAGAAGAAATTAATTTCATTTATCTTTAAAATGTAAAATAAATTCTACCGTCAGAATAACAGTAAAAAAACTGCATTAGGTGACATTGAAAAACTTCTACATATATTGTCATCTAATGACCTAAAACTTTTGCAGGAACTGGGGCGTTCATTTACTTTACAGGACTTTGGGGTACCTGAAAAAGTGAAGGGACTCTGACATTGTTTTTTTGTGTGAAGTTTCATCATTATTTCAAAATATGAAGGCCGGAAACGGGCCTCTTTATCAAAAAGTCGTCTGAATTTTGGAAAACAGGCTTGTAGAATGCATAAATTGTTTCAGGTAAATGTTACATGATTTGTTAGTGAATTGCTGTATTGCTATCGGTCCTGTATTTCTGGATGTATAAATGCAATAAAGTTGATTGAATGATTGTTATAAATACACACGTGTGTAAACGGGTGATGGTAACACAGTCATATGCACAGCAAGGTAGTCGGGTCGATTCGATCTATTTTTAGACTATAGTCGGTGTGTGCGAGTTTATACACCGACTACATTCCCCAGCGAGGCGAGTGTGTAAACTGCAGTCAGCATTCAAGGTATTATTGCGTTGTGAGTAACTGTAACATTGTACATTCTCTAGATACATCTGTTTGAATAATGGGATGTAAAATTCAGATATATGCCTAAATTCAAGGGGTGGTCGGGTGGCGCAGTAGATAGCGCACTTGCCTTTCACCAAGGCGACCGGGGTTCTATCCCCCAATCGGATGTGAAAAGGTATGGGGTCACCTGCCCGACCACATAGGTTTTCTCCGGGTACTCCGGTTTCCTCCCACATTAAGTCCCCTCACACGCTTATATTTGGTACAACAAGAGTGATTTATATAGGTTGAAATAACTTGTTTCATAATTGTTGTAAAATAAAATAAAGTTTACATTTACATTCAAGTAAAATCCTGTCTGGTCGTGATATTTAACTAAAATCTCCATATACCAGTACAGATACACTGATGTGTACATGTATATAAGTCCAGCTGGTCATATAAAGGTCATAATAAGAACCACCCACTAATACGGCCCCGTTACGCAGATTTAATTGTATGTCATATTTCATAACTTTACCATACCCATTGTAGCCGACTGTCAGGTCCACATCAAATTAATTTCTTAGGTATGTGTTAGTTTTATAGATTGTTGTTCTCTGTGAAACTTTTATAACATATGACTTTGACATTAAACTCCATTTGTAAACACATTCAAACCCATAAAGACTGTTTGGAATGTTTGACCTCTTGTAAGGTATGTATATAGTGTCATTTGTGTTTGTGTTTCAGGTCTTGTTGCCCATGAATTTATCCTTGATTGCCGCGAGTTCAAGAAAACAGCTAATATCGAAGTGATGGACGTTGCCAAACGACTACAGGACTATGGTAAGCTTTAAACCTTAGCGATAGCCAAATCACTACAGGGCTATTGTAAGCTTTAAACCTTAGCCAAATGACTACAGGGCTAAGGTAAACTTTAAACCTTAGGGATAGCCAAATGACTACAGGACTATAGTAAGCTTTAAACCTTAGGGATAGCCAAATGACTACAGGGCTATAGTAAGCTTTAAACCTTAGCCAAATGACTACAGGACTATGGTAAGCTTTAAACCTTAGCCAAACGACTAAGGGACTATGGTAAGCTTTAAACCTTAGCGATAGCCAAATCACTACAGGGCTATAGTAAGCTTTAAACCTTAGCCAAATGACTACAGGACCATGGTAAGCTTTAAACCTTAGGGATAGCCAAATGACTACAGGGCTATAGTAAGCTTTAACCCTTAGCCAAACGACTACAGGACTATGGTAAGCTTTAAACCTTAGGGATAGCCAAATGACTACAGGGCTATAGTAAGCTTTAAACCTTAGCCAAACGACTACAGGACTATGGTAAGCTTTAAACCTTAGCCGAACGACTACAGGACTATGGTTAGCTTTAAACCTTAGCCAAACCACTACAGGACTATGGTAAGCTTTAAACCTTAGCCAAACGACTACATGACTATGGTTAGCTTTAAACCTTAGCCAAACCACTACAGGACTATGGTAAGCTTTAAACCTTAGCAAAACGACTACAGGACTATGGTTAGCTTTAAACCTTAGCCAAACCACTACAGGACTATGGGAAGCTTTAAACCTTAGCCAAACTACGTACTACAGGACTATGGTAAGCGTTAAACCTTAGCCAAACTACTACAGGACTATGGGAAGCTTTAAACCTTAGCCAAACTACGTACTACAGGACTATGGGAAGCTTTAAACCTTAGCCAAACTACGTACTACAGGACTATGGTAAGCTTTAAACCTTTGCCAAACTACGTACTACAGGACTATGGTAAGCTTTAAACCTTAGCAAAACGACTACAGGACTATGGTTAGCTTTAAACCTTAGCCAAACCACTACAGGACTATGGTAAGCTTTAAACCTTAGCCAAATGACTACAGGACCATGGGAAGCTTTAAACCTTAGGGATAGCCAAATGACTACAGGGCTATAGTAAGCTTTAAACCTTAGCCAAAGTACTACAGGACTATGGTAAGCTTTAAACCTTAGCCAAACTACTACAGGACTATGGTAAGCTTTAAACCTTAGCCAAACCACTACAGGACTATTGTTAGCTTTAAAACTTAGCCAAACCACTACAGGACTATGGTAAGTTTTAAACCTCCTTAGAGATATTGATCACTGTAATCAAGTTGTGAAATATGTGCTGTTCTTTATTTAAATCTTTTGTGTACAGTTACATAAAAAGTAAAGTGATCTGTTAACAGTGGTAGTGTTTACAGTGATAGTGTTTACAGTGATAGTGTTAACAGTGATAATGTTTACAGTGATGGTGTTTACAGTAATAATGTTTACAGTGATGGTGTTTACAGT